GAGCACCTATTATATTACATATTTGCAAAAAGGAGCATCAGAGAAAGATGAAGATAAAGAGGGTGCTAAATTTCTTCTTTCACAGACTTGGCAAAAATGCAATCTTAAATTGATCCCCTTTTTTGCTTTTTTGACAGCAAAATTCTTCATACGGAATTCATTGTGAAAAGATGATTGATTTCCTCCTTGGAGAATTCGGAAAATATTTTTTTTTTTTGAAAATCTTTTGTATTTTCCCAACAGAGGGTTAAATGGAAAATATTTTCTACTACCGAATAAATATTTAATTAGACATTCTTCGCACTCATGTACTAAAACCTACTACTATTTACTACTTTTTTTACGTTATGCTACTATTTGCGAACTTTTTTTTAGATTTCAGCCACTAAAAGCTTCTTTTTGGTTTTATTTTTTTTCGTTTTTGAGAATTTCCACTACTTTGAATTCACTACACTAATACTAGAAATAAAAAAACTATTCTCAAAAATTATAATCAAATTCTTTAAAACGATTTAAGTATTTTCAAAAAATATTCGAAATTCAATTATTTTCAATATCTAGTATTTTCATAAAATTTCGCAAAACAATTCAATTATTTAAGAAAACAAAATTGATGAAATTCATCCAAAATTTAATTATTATCATAAATAATAAAAATTTCTTAGGAATTCAATTATTTAAATTAGAATTTGCATAAAATTAGTCGAAGGAAATTAATTATTTAAAAAATTTTATAAAATTCTTCGCAAGAATTAAATTGTTTTTATAAATATTTAAATTCTTTGTTGAATAATAAAGCTGCAGGAATTCAATTTATTAGCAGTAGGATAAGAAAGAAGTAAATATTTTTGATAAAAATTAGGAAAATAAAAAATATGGAATAGACTTTTTGGCAGTTTTATGAAATGTCTAAAACGAGTTTTTTGGGTCGTCAAGTTTAATTTTTCGATAGCTACTTTTTTAGTTTGAAAGCTACTTTTTTAAAATTAATTATCGAGTGCGAAGTCTGCTAGATAATTTACTTTTTTATACACACATACATAATCAATATACATCTTAATTAATTTTTGATTGTTTTGACTTTTAAAGATATTTATTTTTCGATTGCCCATAATAACAAAAGATTGTACAAAGTTTCTGTTATTTATCTGCTCTTGATTAGTTGTTAAATCAGATAAGAGTGACCTTCAATTTTGTGTGTAGTATTTCCCAGTTTTATTTTGCCTTTTGTTTTGAAATTATTTGGTCTCAGGTGGCTCACAAAACTTGGGTAATGTAATGTATGTACTTGACAAGAAGCATTTTCTAGCTGTTTAAAGTCTTCAATACAAATTCAGAGTCCATTCTCTGAAACTCATCTGAGAAACACGAGCGAATCTATCTGGATCAATAATTCTTTAAATCAATATACACATGCAGTTCTCGTCTGGACAGAGCCGATGCACCTCCGGCATTTCCGTGGACAAACAACAATCGTCAAGAGAACGGAAGAGAGAGAGAGAGAGAGAGAGCAAAGGTAAAGAGAGAAGAGAACATCTGCCGTAGAAGTAGTAGTCGAGAGTACTATGTACGTATTAGTATTACAGAGTTTGCGCTTCCCAGGCTCTCAAAATGCACCTGGTCCCCCCACCATTTGCCGAATCTTCCGAGTTTTCTCTCCCTCTCTATCTATTTCTTGCCGGACGATCACGTCCTAGAGAGTGACAGCAGTAAAGCAGTTGCAGTTGTGTGCAGTTGTGCTCCTCCTCCTTCCACAAGGATATGCTTTCGTAAACCTGAATACGAAGCCCAATAATAGGTACCCGTCGTGCCCGGCCCATCGTTTCAGAGATTTATCTCCCGCTCTACGAATTTCAACGATGTCAACGCATTCTCTCGTTTCATTATTTCCAAAGCTGAAGCAAGCGATCACCTTAGTCTCAGGGTGCAAGGTTAATTCACTCGGTTGTTGATGATTTCCTCAAGAAGCATTTAAACTTTAAAGAGACATTCTTCACAGCATTTATCTTTTTATCATTTGATAAAATATAAACACTTATTTAGATATGCAGATCTACATATTTTGAATTACTCGACAATGGTCAGTTGACAGCCGCTTGTCAAGAAAAATAATATGGGTATTTATAATTTTGTTTTTCAAATCTGTATTAATTATTCAGAAAAAAATTATGGTCATTAATAATTATAAACAAAAAATAGGAAATTAAAACTTGTGAAGAAATTTCTTTATGTACATACTTAAATTATTTTCGGGACACTTAAAATTTCTTGTATTTAAAATTTTAATAGGATAACATGTTAGATTTGTTTCACAGGCTTTATACGGCCTGACTCAAGGTCTCGGCAAATTTCTAATGAAACCACGTGTTTTTTATGACATAACACATGAGAAATATTCTCGAACTACTTTAGACAAATGCTGACTGGCCAAATTTTAAATGGCTTTCTCGGTTGAGGCTAATTTTTTTATTCACCGCCTTCACCGCTAACAAAATAATGCGATTTTATTTCTTATCTTTTACTTTCTCTGACGCTTTCACCAACTCACGTACATACATACTATAAGGCAACAATGGAACGATAATCGACTTATTATTTACGACTCGCGTTGCTCAAGAGTTACGTATATTATATGTATTACTTCCTTCAGTTAAACGTTAGAGTATTTATTTTATATATGCTCAGATCGGCAGAGAAAATACGCTTATTACTAAATATTAAAGTTCCTTTCTGGTGAAAGGAGGTGAAAATCGTGATTCTATATTTTGGCCTTCGCAAATTTGGCATGAATCATTTGAAAAAGAAACTTAAGTTAAAGCTTTTTATTCGTCAAGTATCTTGCAGTAAATTACAAATAAATTAAGTTTCAGGCCTCGAATCGACTTTAACGAACAAAAAAAGTCGCTTTACTTGATTAAAAATAGAAAAAAGGAGAAAATTTCTAAATCCAATTAACCAAACCCATCAAAACTCGTTTAATTTTGCTAAATAAATATTTAAATACTTCTTATTTCTTTTTTCACAGAAAATAAAATTTTAAAAACTTCAACTTCTGAAATTTAATAATTATTTCTAAAAATTAAAACTATAACCCTTCGAAAAATTTAAATATTTTCTACAATTTTCAACTAAACTTCATCTCTAAATTTATCTAAAATTTTGAATATGATTATTTTCTCCTAAAATAATATCTGAGGCCTGGTTTTATTATACAAATTATTTTATGTATTCAGAAGTAGGAACTAATAATTTCTTGACGATAAATAGTTCTTTTTGAAAATTCAATCTCAGTTACAAAATACATAACAAAAGTTCAGTGTATAAAATAGTTTGTATTCGATTTTTTCGGTACAACATTGACAATGTCTAGTTCAACTTGGTCAAGGTCGTTAGTATTTGATCCAGCTTGAATCATCTTTTAGACATATAATAAACAAAGTTTACTTTATATACTTTGCACATTACTGCCGTAAGTTTATTATCGAGTACCTAATATACATATAAGAAAAGTTAAAAGAATTTTACAATATTATTAAAAATAATAATTATTATGAACATAATAATTGAAAACGAAATTTTTAATTATTTGTAATTTATATTGCAAGTTAACTATCGAAGAATGATTTGGTATTTTTCACACGAAAATGGGGTTTTCTAAAGCAAAAAAATTATTTAATGATCTTTAAAAGAAATTTTACTCAGAAGTAGAAATTTAACAGTAATTCTTTTGTAAACTTTATTGACTTACCGGACCTGACTCATTTCTGTCAAATCGAGAAGAATTATGATGTTGAGAGCGATGCTGAAAGTTTATTGTGAATATAAGAATGCACCGTCTTGACATTCAGATTCTCCTTCGCCTCTGCAATGATTCATCAAAAATATGCAATAAATTTAACTCCCCCTATTTAAATTGAAAAGAAGAGTTTTTTCAATTTACACTTATTGTATTATTTCAATTCGATTTACATAATAATCATTAATCTGAAATTAACATTATAAAGGCTCGGGAGAAAAAGTTTTAAAATTGTTTTACGAAAGTAAATATACATTAAAAATTCAGAGCCGTAAATTTGTTCTCGAATTTCGCTTTTTCGTGAACCTGATGACGATAAAGGAAATAAGAACCTGCGCTGTCACGTTGTGGAATTCATCTTAGTAAATATTTCAAGGGACGTGAGGATGCAACTCATTACAACAGCTGTCCGTGGTGTGGGAAAACTTTGGATACGCATCAATGATTGGATTCAACCCTCTATTTTTCTCAAGCTGCATCAGACTTTGTTTCACCTTTACATAAATCTTGGAATAAATCAAGACTATCTCAAATAATCTTTTTCAATTTTTTCAAACATTTTTTTCTTTTAAAAAGAACAAAAAAAGAAACTTTAGCAAATTTTTGTCTATTTAAATTAAAAAAAACTATTGTTTTAAAATAAGTAGTTACCTCCGCTTTTGCAGTTGATTAATTTAAGGAAGTAGAAGGTGTTCGGTTAGATAAATAATACAAATCATCGATTCAACCTTTGAATCGGATCTCACAACCTTGGATGAACATATGGTCCATGGAGAAGTTTGTTCATTGGCAGACTCGTAATCTGGTTATTTATCACAGGATGCGGCCCAGGGGTCGTGGGGACCTGCGCGAATATAATCATCTTCTCTAGATTTATGCCAATGTGCAATTTTCTATAGAAGCTCCTTTTTCAATAGTAACTTTATATCAAATGATTAAACAAAATTACTTGAAGAAAAGGATACAAATTTTCTTTACAACTAAAGCTTTATTTTCAAATGCCTTTATTATTATTTTTTTCATTAATTTTAACATCTTGATCTTTGAAATATTATTCTTTCTCATGATTATAATTTTACTGTCATTATTAACTGATTGTAAAATTCTATAAATAAAAAGGTATTTTTCAAATAAAATAAAATTTTTAATATTTATCTATATTGTTAAAAAGGAGAGGAGTATAAAGACAATTAAGAAATGCGACTTTTTATCAGTGATTATTATAATTATTTATTAATTAGCTAATATTCTGAAAACGTATGAACATTTGTACATGTGTTTTTTTTTGTCTTGAGGTACTTGTGTATGGCATCTTGAAATACATAATTCACAATATATCTTCACCTGTCGAACATTATTACGATATCGCTTTTTGTTTATTAATTACATGACGGCAGTGGATTTTTCGTTATTTGTAGAAAAAAAAATCTCAACACTCTTATCGAAATTTAAGTTTTTTACTTTCAAACAGAATTGGCGGGGCGCAATGGCACGATGAATATTTTTGTTTTTTTTTTTGTTTAACATTTTTTTTGTCAACTATTTTTTGTTTTTGTTTATAAAATGCAACAGTCGAGTATGAATAAGAATTTATCAAATAATGATATGAAATTGAAATGTGTTTCCATTGATCATTTCGTACCTAATTGTTACCTTAATCGATAATAATAAAACTGAGTATACAGTTCTGTTTGATATGTTTCTAACATACGTCAATCTATTTTTCTTTTTTTCTTTATATTACAGATTTATAATGTTCTATTTACGCCTATTACGTTTATCAGCGGGCGAATAAACTAACAATACATACATAATGCTTTGACTGAAGGAAAAAGGAATGAAAATGTAAAATTATATATTTCTCGAAATTTTCTTCATCATTTGGTCAATATCAAGAATTTTATCATTTTTTTTTTTTATGTTAAAGAGAAATGAATACATAGAATATAATGAATGAATTTATCACGCCCGCAAAAAACGTTTCTCTAGTTTTATTTTAGTTTATTGCATTGGCATTTTTTCACGTTTTCTTTACTCTTTCTTTCCTCCTTTCTTTCATTCGTCGATAATTCCTGAACTCTTGAGGTAGTCTGTTCTGGGATTTTACGTAGTATTATAATGGCAAGTGTTTATAATTCGTATTAATAACTAAAAAAATCCTTGCACGCACATATATAATATATATACAATATAAGGTACACCTCATCCAAATGAAATCTGTACAATTAACATGGGAATGACAAGAAGTATTTTACTCAGCTCACAGAGACAAATATATTATAAGAAAAATACGCACTGAACAAACAAATCAGGCAACAAATCTGGCGCAAAGAATCCAGAAACAACGACGCTCAAATAACAACGGACGAGGCTTGATTCCACCTCAGTTTAATCTAGATAATTATGCACATTTGGCAATATAAAACAATTCATGTGCGAACTAGTCAATCGGACAATTAAACAACGATAAACAGAAACAATTCTATTTGGTTATGGCGAGGTCAACATATTTATTTTACTCACATTGCGAGTATAAGTATTTTGCGTTCTTCGAAGGAATTATTATCATATTCAAATTTTACATTTTACGCTTACAGTCTAAATGATTTCTTTGTATAAAAAGTGAGTATGGACGAAAGTTTCATTTGTTATTTGGCAGAACTGTTACTTTAATCACGTAATTTCCCTCGAAAAACGCACATAATTTTCAACTTACTCTACTATAGTTCTTACGATTAAAAAAACAAGAATCGTCACTGTGAAAACGTGCCGAACGATTCGCGACATTTGTCGCTGGAATGCCATTCAGGGAATGTTCACACATTAACAAAATACAAAAAAAATATTTCCAAATAATTTACAATTTTTTTCGATCACAAAAACAATTTTTAAAATTATTTACCATTATTATAGTAAATAAAAGAGAAAAATAAATATTGCATTTCTTTTCCAATAATAAACTTATTACTACAACAAAATCTAATACTGACTTACAGTTTTCAATAACTATTCAAGTAGTATACAAAAAGAAATTTTTTTTAAAAACTACTCTCAATAAAAAAGCTTCTTTTTTAAAAAAAAATTGTCATTAAATAATTTTAACAAATTTGCACAACGGCAATAGAATTTAAACTTTGATTTAAAAAATTAAAATTGATCATTGAGTAAATTTTACTTCTTTGAAGACTTTTATATATAATTAATTTTACCAAACATCGTGAGAGCTCGTTTTCACATTGAGTGATACATATCATTAATGTCCATCATTTCTCTAAGTTTTTCTCATTTTAATTTATTGAGAAATTTCTATAAAATATGAATACCATAATTAGGGATCGAAACCGTTGTGTCTAGTTGATAATAAATCAATAATTACAATGATATATGCCTATACATTTAATATATTTTGTACAATTCATAAGCTTCAAAGTTTTGATATCGCGATAGATCACCATTATCATAATTATTTTATTAAATATCCTTTATTTTATGATTTATAATCAAGACTTCGGACAGGATATTTCTTTGTTTTGTGGCATTTGTCGCAATCTACAAAGTCGAGATGCATTTAGCAAAATTTTGAATCGACTCGGAATATCGCGAAAAATAAAATAGATTCCAACATCCCTCTCAGCATTTATACCCGCATTTTCCATTAATTTTTTTTTTTTATTTTTTTTATTAAGAGTATGTATCGAGTGATAAGTTCAATTAATGCATACTCTTAACGTGAGCAAAAAACAAGGTGGAATAAAAAATATAAGTAGTCTGTAAAATTATAGCGAGAATGTTGGAAAAAGTACATAATTTGACTTACAATTTTGTTTCTCTTCGATGACCTTGAACGAAGCTTGGCAGTCATCTAAATACGAAGTTGAGCAAGACGGCCAAACGTTCTGGTGCTCGTTCCCAGCGACCTGCGGGCGAAGAAGAGACAATATTGATTGATAGGGAGAAGGATTGGGGGGGGGGGAGGGGGATGGACAAAAAATGTAGGATTAGAGAACTAATAAATAGGAAGATTGCGGGATGAAGGCTACAAAGATAACGCAACAAGTGATGTTTTGATTGGACCCAAGAGACTCACGCTCTGAGGTGAACATTGTGATGGGCGTTGGACTTTTTTCTGTGCGTTTCGAGGTGCTTCATCATGTGGTCCTTTCGAATGAAACCCTTTCCGCAAGTATCACAGGCGTACGGCTTTTCGCCAGTGTGCAGGCACATGTGCCGTCTGAGGTCGGTCTTGTGGTTGAATTGCTTAGGACAAATCTCACATTTGTAGGGCTTCTCACCGGCGTGCTTCTGCAGGTGCTCGGCATGCATAATTTCGTGTGGAAATCGTTTGCCGCACTGGTTACATTTGAAGGGCTTGTCTCCCGAGTGGAAACTCTTGTTGTGCTGAGTCAGGTAGCAGGCCTTGTTGAAGACCTTGTCGCACTCGATGCATTTGTGGAATCCATCCTGAGAGATGTAGTGGGAACCAGTGTTGGTGCTCGTCACTTGGTGCTCCTTGGTGACAATTTCCTTGAACTTGCTCCCTTTCACCTTGCCGACGTTGGGGTTGAGCTCTTCCTTTGGCGGAGCTTGAGGTAGATTGTTATTTGTCTCAATTGGCAAACGAGATCTTTGAATTTGCTGAAAGAGTTGCGCCTCGGTCTGAGGCTGGTAGTCGGGGTACTTGATGAAGAGGTTCCCGTCCGTGCTGGTGTGAATGAGATCCATATTGGCGAGAGAATCGTATTTCGGTGGCGACATTGTCCTGTACGTGTCATAGGTCGGTATGGGTGAATCGAAGGTTTTGTCTTGAGGAGAGAGACTCTCCTCCGGACTTAGCCCCCCCACGCTAACGGCCTGCGGATGACTGTGGCCAACTAAGTTGTACCCGGAGTTGATGCCAAAGTTGGTGAAGCTGGGCAGGGGCCTCTGATGGTTGCTGAAGGTCCCGAAACCGGGTAACATTTCCTGGGTGAATTGCATGGATGACGGAAGATCGTTACCAGTAGTAGTTAGACTGGTGATAGACTCCATTAGACCCGGGATGCTGGTAGTAGTTGTAACGTGGGGGGGCAAAGCGTTTGGGTACGGCTGATGAGGCATCGAAGTACCCCCCATTGGCGGCGGCGGCGGCGGAGAACCCATCGGCGGGACGCCTCCCATCATGGGCGACGGGGAACTCATGTGATGCTGCTGCTGGCCCATTGGCGAAGGCGAATTCATGTGGGCCGTTGGGTGCTGCATGGGTGACATGGGCGAACTCATGGGGTGGTGGACCGCCATTTGGGACGCTGTATCCATTGGAATGTTGTGGTGGCCCAGTTGCGAGGGGGAAGCCATTTGATGGTGGGGGTGGCCCATTGGTGAGTGCGGCGGACAGTTGAGTGAGACAAGGTTGGACAAGCGCACCGTTGAAGCCATCTGCTGGTGGACCATAGACCCTTGGACCCCCGAAGACTCGCTGCTGCTGCTGGAATTGCTGCTGGTGTAGAGGTTCTTGTTGGTGGAGGTGGCGGTGATGGGCGTGAGCAGCAGGCCCCTCGTTGCCTCTCCCGAGGGACCTGCCATCAAGTTTGGGGGACTCCCCGAGGATGATAACTCTGGAGATCGTGAAGGTCCTCCTCTGCTGGTTATGTTCTGATCTCGGCCTGGATGGTGGTGCACGCTGATGGGCATGTTGGCGGGATCCGGTTGATTGCTCACCTTAACAGCATTCTTGTGCAGGGTGGTGTTGTAATGTCTCTTGAGATGACCCGAGCTGGTGAACCACTTGTTGCACGCCGTGCAATTATATGTCTTTGGCCGGCGAGCTTCATTGCTCTTCCAGGATTGGTTTCCCATAACCGCTTTCGGAGCCTGTGGCAGCATTGCAGGTGGAATCTGATGTCCTGATAGGGGTTGCGTGCTGGTGATGATTGGTGAGCCACCATGTCTCGGTGGTTCTACTGGCATGTGTTGACCACGCATAAATTGGTTCTGATCAGGCATCGGAGAGGTGTTCTCCATTGGTGGCATTGAATGATATTCATGAATCTGTGGTGGAGGCCAATTTAACAAAGAACTCACGGAATGAGGACCACTTCTCTGCTGCTGTTGTTGTTGTTGTTGTTGTTGTTGTTGCATAACATGATGCTGCATTTGTATTTGAATTTCTTGCTGTTGTTGCTGCTGATGTTGTTGTTGTTGCTGTTGTTGAACCCTCAACATGTCCTCCTCATACCTGTGAGTTTGAACTTTATGCGAATCCAAATCCAAAATTTCCGCTTGCTCTTCTGCTTCTTGTTTCACCTCTGTCTTGATAATTGTTCCTCCAGTAAAGTCAAAACCAGAATTTTGTTGTTGTTGTTGTTGTTGATTCGCATGAGATGGTGAATTATGCATTTGAGATTGTTGAGTCTGCTGATGCCTTTGCATGTGATGCTGTGGACTGCTGCCCATTTGCTGATACTGAGATTGACTAGGATAAGAATTTGGTGATGCTGGATGATTAGATCGAACATGTTCCGCTAGCTGATTGGGATCTTCGTAAACAGCACCACACTTATCACACTGCAAAGGACTCCGTGGACTCGTGGAGCTCACCGAGTTTGTACGATCCGCTTGCGAGAATCGCTGCTGATGTTGATAGGGGTGATACCTCGCATAGTTCCCACCCCCGTTTTGACTTTCCTCCCTGGATGGAGAGTAATGATGGGGCAGAATGTATGATGGTTCATTCTGCACGAAGTAAGCGTTTTCGTTATACATTTGTGGTGGAAAGTTGGTGAATCCCTGCGACGTCGGAGCGGACTGCTGTTGCGATGCAGACGCCGGACCTTCCGAGGGTGGCCTTGATGAAGACTCACTCGAGTCAGCCGGTGCCGTGACACTCTCCCTCTTCACAACCATATGATTGCCAGCCTTGCTATTGTTGTTGTTGCTCTCCTCTTGCTGCGCCTGACTGGCCCATTGACTAAGTAGATTCTCTTGATGATACCGAAGATGCACCTCGAGGCTTTTCTCACTTTCAAAAGAAACACAATGATCCTTGCAGTGATGCTCCGAATTCGAGCTACCACCAACGAACTGTTGCTGTTGATGCTGCTGCTCTACACTCGTCATCTCACTCATATTGTCTCCTCGCGAAACTACGCACTAATTGTCCGTCAGTGACTGTTAATCACGATTGTTCTCACTGTTTCACAGGTGCGCACTCGCGTGACGCGCCAATTTCAATATTCACATTTAACACGTTGCAATTCAAATCCAATAATCGAGATTTGTCGAGATTTGCCGAGAAAGTCAAACAAACAGAAAGAAAATAAAACGAAAACAATATAAACGTGTTCTACATTTATCATATGATGACACGTGACACAGTAATAAATGTCCAAATTGATAGCGTCATAACAACTATTCCAGCAGAAGCAGCATCACACAGGAACAATACAGCCCCCGCGACCGGCAACATCTTTTCTGGCGAAGCACGCGCGCGAATTCAAACACAACAACTCAAACTAGACGCTTATTCACTCAGTTTAATTCAACAATGTGAAACTAAATTTTAGAGAAAGTCAAGAAAACGAAAAAGAAAACACAAATTTTGAGCTTGTCGTTTACATTTCAGTGTTTAGTCGAAATTTTCCATTTAAAAATTTTTAATAATAACGACAAACAATACTATTGTTTTCTACTTGAATGGTGTTTTTCACAATTCACTTTGACACTAGTTGAGCACATTTTCTCCAGTGATTTGTCAGGAGAACCATCGCCGGCGTTTGCGTCCTCTCATTTACGTAATTGCGGAAGCACTTTTTTGAAAAAATTTATTTACACATGAAACTGAACCCCCGCAAATATTGAATTTATATCTCAGAAGGGAAATTTGTTATTTGTTTTGTCTCGAGTTCCGTGAGGGTAGAATAATTAGTTTTGTTTTCGAATTTACAATAATTATTCAGATCCACGTCGCACGACCGACGGCTCTGTTCTGCGGTCCGTTGGAATTTCGAGTTTCGAGTCTACGGGATCGCACCAAGGCGCTTTTGCCCCACCCCCTGCACGTCTCTCTCACCCTCTTGCTCTCGGGCTCTCGCAGGCTTCCCCTCGGCCCGCGCGGCAGTCTTCGTTAACTCCTATCCCCACCACACTGGTCCTCACTCCCCGCGCCCCTCCAAAGACTGCTCTAGCAAGCCAACAGGAGACAGCCAACCAAATTTGAGACGTTCATCTCTCCTTTTCCTTCTCTCTCCCTCTCACCCTTGGCCCGACGTGCTCCCTCGACACTAGTCTCGAAGGACGAGAGGAGAATCCTGCAGGACCCGCTGGACTTCTCTCCCTCTTGATCACTCTGTCTCCCTTCATCTTACTCTTCGTGGAGTCTTTCCACCCCCACTTTCACCCTCCCTTCTTACCCCGAGTGCCACAGAAAGAGAGAGACGACAGGCTAGAGAAATGTGCGCATGCCACCAGAATCCTTGAGCACAGTACCGAAATACACGATACTTTAACTTTGTGTGAATGTTGAGCGAGAAAAATGTTTACGAAAAGCTTTTATTTTTTCCTTATACTTGAAATACTTGAAGATACTTGAATTTTCAAGTGATGTGGAAAAAATGTCAAGCATAAGAATAATGAGTATTGTTCGAAACAAGATTTTTCACATTTAGCCAGAAAAAAAACCAATTGTAATTAATGGAATAATTTCGATAAAAAATGTACGCTTTTTAATTAGATTCATTTATCGATTGTCAGACCTATTGTGTCAAATAAGTAAATACAAACAAAGTTCACTATGCTATTAATAATAAACTCGTTTGCTAATTAAATGGTTGTTAAGAAGAAATAATAATAACCTCAGCTGTAATAAATAGTCGTGAAAATAAAATTCTTTAACTTCAAAGTCTCAAAAGTTTTATACTTGAGAATTGTTAATTTTTAACATTATTTTATATTTTATTTGTTAATTTGTATATGTAATTTCGAATTTTTTTTTGCGACATTTTAAAAAATAAGAGGAAAGGATTTGATCGACAGTTCGACACTTTTAAATTGTGGAGTTAAACGGACTATTCTCAGTGAAGACGAAATGCTTCAACACCTATTTTCCTTATTCTTCATACATGAATATGTTTATCAGCTACCTGATGAAAAAACGCACCACGTGTGTGGGCGAATCTCTGACACGTGGTTACTGCCAGAACGTGTAAAAAGAAATTTGCACAGGTCCATGCACTTTCCTATATGTCGCTGAACTTTAAATTGAATTCTGACATCTGTACTTGACTCATAAAAAAAATTCGCAAATTCTTGGTCGTTTTCTTGGAAATCTTGTTTTGGGAATATTTTTGTTAAGATCGATATGAATATGATTTTAAAATCTTTGTTTCAAATTTTCAATTAAATACGGTTCAATAAAATTGAGACAAAAAAGGTTATCGTTATATGATATCGTTAGAAAAACTGTGTAATGTATAAATTAAGATTCAGCAGACGCTGAATTTATAAGACAGATCTGAAATTAGGATTTTCGTTTTACTGTGTAAAATTGTTGCGTCTAACATATAAGTCGAATTTTTTTTAAGAAGGAGGAAACTCTTCCCCCACCTTATAGTGATCGGTTTGCGGTTTTAAATAAATTTTCGGGAGACATTGAAAAATAGTTTGCACTGGAGTGCCCTGTTTATGCTAATCAAAATGTTTTCTATTCTCTTTCTACTTGCTGGCTAGCAAGGCCGCAACGGAAATCCGACTGAATCCGACGAAGGGTGGCTGGGCGTTCGTGTCAAATTGAATCAGCCTAAGCAACCACCTCACCCTCTTGCCACCTTCTCTAGATTTTCCCTAGCAACCCCTCTAGCATTTTGGTGTTGGACGTCGAGCTGACCGTGCTGCTATCAGCGAGATATTCGCTGGCGTGGCGTTTGCGCCCCATTTTATTAAGGAAATCCAGGCACTCCCTTTCCACTTTGGATTCGGGACACAGAAAAGCATTGCTCTTGACTTGGCGACGTGCTTGTTCCTCCTTTTCTTATCCTTCCCTCTCATTTTTCTTTTCATAGAATGGAAATTTATATAAACCGACTCGTGATTATTTATATGAATAAACTCAGGAGTTTATATAAATTTCCGAGCGTTTAATTTATTACCGTACGAGAAAAGTACTTAAAGATACATACAGAGCTAATTTGCTTTCTTTTATTTCCTGCCAACTCTTTTATAATGAATACTATAAAGTTTCAATTGTCCGCTTAAATCGACAGTTACGGGGAAATCCCACATCACTCTGAATAGAGTCATGAATACAGTATTTGCAGCAGTATGTTACACTAATTAGATTTTGTCGCCTTAAGACCGGCGACAAATGATCTTATAATGCATCTCTTAACTATTTTTAATTATGTATCACTATTGTTGATATTTTATACAAACGAAAACTGGTATTAAGGCAAAAAGTTTTATTGAGAAAAACGAAGAAACTATTGGCTGCTATTGCCAGCTATTGCCCTAAAGCAATGAACAATTATGTGAGAGGAGTCGGTCGGAAGCACCAAAAAAGGGGCATTGTGCAAAATTAGAGCCCTTCTTATGGTAATCGGACCACCGTTTACGCTCCTTCAGGTCATCGACTTTTACTGAGACATTAAATTAGTTAACTAATTTTTTTTTAATTCAACAATATTTTAGAAAAAAAATTATGATTGTTCGATTACAATTCATCATAGAGCTCTAAAAATAGAATCAGTTTTCATGAAATATTTGTATACAAATTGAAGCAATCGAAAAAGAAGCTAGTATGATTTATGAATTTAACAATATTTGGATTCGTTTGGAACTATTTGTTTATAACATATAAAATGATATTAATTGATTTTGAAGAGAATAGTATTTCGAAACAGCAAAGATCCTTTGTCTGTTCGTGGGCAGGCGAGACTGGACCACGAACTAAAGTAGTCTAACTGCATCCTGACGTCATTCGCGAGAAGGCGATTTGCCTCGACCTTGAACAGCGGCTCTTCTTTTGTTTGGTGCTGTTCGGCACAATTAAAGTTCCTTTCTTTCTCACTCCCTCCCTGTCTCTCTCTTTCTCTCTCTATCTGTCTGTCTGACTGTCTTATCCTATAAAATTTTTAATCGGAATCATCTTTATACATTTATTAAGAATAATCTAGAATATCTCACAATCTCGTTGTACTATATAATCAGTCGAGAGACTGACATAAAAGGGTTAACAAAAATAATTACTAAACTGACAAAAATTTTCATAAATTAAAAAAATATTAAATGTTTTTGTTTAGTGAATGAATATGTAACGGTTACAATATATTTATGTTAAAAAATTCTGAACGTTCAAATTGCACGAAATATATTTTCAATATTTTCAAAATTAGTCACTAAAATGAAACATGAATTATTTTAAAACAAGGCCCAGAGTTATTACACTAAAATTTAAATTTGTAAAAATAATAAGTTTTCGATCATGTGCACAACTTTTTAGAGGCAAGGAAAGATCATTACCCTTTCCGAGAGGCAAACGAGCTGTACAATCAAATATTAGTGTTTTTGAAAAATTCCCGAATAATTATTTCTCTGTACCATTAAGTATGGATGATAATAATTATTTAAAATTATTGATATATAAGAATAGCTTACAGCCCTGACCTCTTTTTCGTCTATACCTTATTTCTGTTACGTATTGCTAATTTTTTTTCTCTTTGTTTTCCATCCAGAAGTGGCAGTTCTATTTTTCTCCTCTTTTTTCTGAGCAAAAACTGTGACTTCTTTCTTTCTTTCTCTCTTTCTTTCTCTTCCCTCGAATCCTTTAGTGACGTTGAGAAAGAAATAATTCAAACCGCGAAAACCTATAATTTTCGGTACCTTGACTGCGATGCCGCGGCAAGATTGTTATCTTCGGAAACGAAGAAATATCATCGATACACTCTATTGGTATAAATATAAATACAAAATATACCGAAACAACTCGTCATTCCTATAAAGAATTCTTAGCATTCTGCCGCCTATAGCTTTCACATTAGTTATACAATCGCTTCGTCAAATCCAAATTAAATTTCTTTGTTTTCAAGTTTCAACAAAACTTTGTTTGTCATCAATATGTACACTGAAAAAAATTTATTTCATTCAAATATAATCAATCGATTATATCAGTGAAATATTTACTTGAATCAAATAATTTTTATTTGAGTGAAATTGTATTTGCTTCAAATACTGAAATTATTGATTCAAATACAATTTATAGTTGACTCAAATATAAAAATTATTTGATTCAAGTAAATACTTATTTGATAATAAACAAGTAATCGATCATTTGAAACAAATAAATGCTAAATTATGTAATTAAATGTAATTTATTACATTTAAATCTTAAATAATTTTTTTAAAATAAAAAAATTATCCAGAACTTTAATCATTTTATTTCAAAATAAAAATTTAAATACCTACTTATTCCAGTTTTACAACAATTACAATTTTCAAAGCTTTCAAAAATTGAATATAAAAATAAAATGTATAATTCTTGTAATGAACTTTGTGAAAATTTTTTCAAATAATTCAATTGTTATGAAGGATTTTATTAAAATTTTTGAAAATAATAAGATTCATTTAAGAAATTAAATTAAAAATGTATTGAAAATAATTATTAAATTCTAATAAACAAATTATATCAAATTTTTTTAAAATAATTGCTTTTTTTGAGGAATTCATTTAAAATTGTATTATAAAAATAATTAAAATTCTGCGATGAGTTTTACCATTTATGAAAGTAATTGAATTCTTGCAACGAATATTATTGAAATCTTAAAGATAATTGTATTCCTGAAAAAAAGTATATTTCTTTCGAAAAGAATATTGAATTCTTGCCAAGTATTTTATTAAAATTTTTCTGAATAATTGAATTTTTGCGAAGAATTTTCTTAAAACTTTTAAAAATAAATAAATAATTGAATTTCTGAGAAGAATTTTTATTAATATTTAGTAAATAATTGAATTGCTGATAAGAATTTTAAATATATTTAATA